TGAGGCTGAGGCTGATGCAGGCTGAGGCTGAGGCAGGCTGAGGCTGAGGCCGAGGCTGAAGGCAGACTGAGGCTGAGGCTGAAGCAGGCTGAGGCTGAGGCTGAGGCAGGCTGAGGCTGAGGCTGAGGCAGGCTGAGGCTGAGGCTGAGGCTGAGGCTGAGGCTGCAGGAGGCTGAGGCAGGCTGAGGCTGAGGCCGAGGCTGAAGGCAGACTGAGGCTGAAGCAGGCTGAGGCTGAGGCTGAGGCTGAGGCTGAGGCTGAGGCAGGCTGAGGCTGAGGCAGGCTGAGGCTGAGGCTGAGGCTGATGCAGGCTGAGGCTGAGGCAGGCTGAGGCTGAGGCCGAGGCTGAAGGCAGACTGAGGCTGAGGCTGAAGCAGGCTGAGGCTGAGGCAGAGGCAGGCTGAGGCTGAGGCTGAGGCAGGCTGATGCTGGGGCAGGCTGAGGCTGAGGCTGAGGCTGATGCAGGCTGAGGCTGAGGCAGGCTGAGGCTGAGGCCGAGGCTGAAGGCAGGCTGAGGCTGAAGCTGAAGCAGGCTGAGGCTAAGGCTGAAGCAGGCTGAGGCTGAGGCAGGCTGATGCTGAGGCTGAGGCTGAGGCTGAGGCTGTGACTACGACTGCCGTTGCCACTGCGACTGTCATCGCGAATGCGACTACGACTGCGTGAGCAGCAGAATTCTACAACTGGATTCTCATCTGAATCTTAAGGGGAATGCTTCCAGATATGCTCCTACACATCGCTGTTAGGTTGCTTTGCCGGGATAATGTGTGTTTCTTGCCGCTGGAGGCCTTCTCGGGGATTCTCTTGGGGCCCTCCTTCGGCGTCTTGGAGGCGTCGTGGGCCGTCCAGAGGCTGCATTGGGGCCATGTTCACACGGGTATTGCGCTCGACGGATCACCCCGCCCGAGCGCGAACGGCTTGCGACGGGGCTGCTTGGTGGTGGGGGGAATGCACCGACCACGAACCAGTGGAACTAACGTGTCGGGAAGCGCGAGACTTCCGCGGATCGCGAGCCAGGGGGCAGGGGGGGGCCCGTCTGGCGTCGCGGAGCCTCTGGGGTCTGACCGAGGAGGCGGAACGGCGCAGGCGGGAGTTCGCGAGGCTCGCGGATTCTGCCGTTGACCAGGTTGGACAGGGGGTCTCCTTGGGGGGGCCCTGTGGCGGTGTCACACGAGGCGGGGCAGAAAGCGCTGGGGGCTGCGCCTCGTCGGGCCAGGCGCCCGTGGGCGGACGGCAGGGAAAATGAAATCGCCGCCTATGATGCGGAGATCGCCGCGGCCAAGGATCGCGACCGCGCAGCGCGTATGGGGCCGAGACCTGGGAGGCGGTGGAGAAGGAACGGGCTGAGAGCCGACGCGCGTGACGACAGATCCGGGCGAGGAAAATGAGATGCCCGAGGTAGTGGGAATTGGCCAGGTGGGAGGATCAATGGGGGGCTCGCCACAGAGGCTGCGGAATCGGGCAACCAGGCGAGCCCGCGCGAGCTTTTCCGCGGCCTGCGTGACCGGCCCAAAGGCGGCTGGCGCGACGGGGGCCGCCAGACGGTCGGGAATCTGGAGGTGGAGCGGCAGGCTTGGGCCTCCCATTTCAAGAAAGTCTCGGAAGGGGAGGGGGGCCGTGCGTGCCCGTGTCTAGCAGAACGTGACCAAAACGCCCAGGCCGGTGCCAAGGCATGGGCACGTGCCCAGTGGCATGGAGCTAGATCGGTGCCAGGGCCGAATGCGGCTCGGCAAGGCGGCGGGCTGCGACGAGTTCCCCGTTGAAACCCTAAGGTTCTGTGGCAAGAAGTTCCGTCGCGCGGTGTATCATGTGATAAGGGAGGTGTGGCGCCGAGCCTCGACGGCGGCGGACCAGGGCGAGAGTCGCGATTGGCCCAATTAGTGGAAAGGCAAGAGGGTCATCGCCCCGCTGTGGAAAGGCAAGGGCCGCAAGAAAGACAAGAACGCGTGCAGAGGGATCGCGCTAAGCGTCGGGTCGAAACTCCTGGCCCGAGTGATGGCGGCGCGGCCTGGACGGTGGGCGGAAGGTTTTTTGGGCGAGACTCACTGCGGATTCCGCCGTGGTCGGTGTGTAGATGATGTGCTACAGACCAGCAGGCGGCTCGTCCAGGAGATTAGCAGGGGGGGTAAGGGGGGTGCCCCCTGGTACCGCTTCAGTTTTTTTCTCATCGAAAGGGCGTGCCCCCGGGTATGCAAGGATGGCCTCTGGGTGCTCCTGCGGCGACGGGGGTGTGACGAACAAGTGATCAGAGTGTGTCGAGCGCTTCGCGAGGGCACGGAGTGCGCCGCCAGGGTCGAAGGCGGTCTGTCCCAATTTTGGCTCCCCGACCGGGGCTTCTGTGAAGGTTGCCCTTCGTCCCCGCTTCTCTTTAATTTGTGCCGCGATGGGTTCGCGGGGGATTTCCGCTCCCGGCGGGCAAGTGAGGCGGCGGCCTACGGGGGGGGGGCTGGCAGGGGCCCGCTGGAATTTGCGTTTGAACGAGGACCTGGTTAAGAACTCGCATAACAAGACTGTCCGCGAAGGCGGCGGCCATCGCAGAGACGTGGACAGCGTCGTCAAAGGGGATTTCGGCTACGCAGATGACACAGGCATCTGCGGCATGGAAGACGAGGTTCAGCGTGCCGAACGGACTTTCGCGTCCACCCTGGTGGATTGGGAAGCGCGAGTGAACCGAGGGAAGACGGAGCGCTTGCGCGTGAGCGCGCAGGGCCGTCGGTTGTACGACGTTACAGGGTTCGGTGAAGTTGGCAGCGTGCGACATGTGGGCGGAGTAATAGCAGAGGATGGCAAGCACGACGGGGACACAATGTGGCGAGTCAGCCGCGCGCGGGCCAATGTGGGTGAAGTCAGACATGCGTAGGAGTCTGAAGGAGCGTGCGGTCGGGGGGGCCGGAGCGGCGCGCGGCGCCACGTGCGCTTGACCATAATGAAGACCGCGGCGGTGCCAACCATGGTGGCTTTTTACAAATCCTGGGCCTGGACACAGCGTCAGATCATGGCTCTGCAGAGGGTTGCTCACTTCGCGGTGCGTAAAGGCATGGGCATGGACGTGCGCCGGATGCGGAAGCACCACGTCACGGACGAACAATTTTACGCGGCGGTGGGATGGGAGAACATGGTGGGCATTATTGCGCGGCAGAGTTTGGCGTGGTTGGGGCGCGTGGCTCGCGTGCCTGTGCAAAGACGACCCAGGCAGGCGTTGTGCGTTTGGGTGGGCAGAGGTCGGTGGGCAGTGGGGATCCTGCAGCCGAAGTGGCTGGGGCGCGTCCCGTGCCGCGCGGGGCCCTCGCCGACGGATTGGTTTCGCAGGGCGCAGCTGCGGAAGAAGTAGAAGCGGGCGACGTCCCAGATAGGGGGGAAGGCGTTTCTCTGGGTCCAGCTCCTCATCTTGAACCAGCTCCTGGCGGCCCTAGGGCCCTTGAGGGCAGAAAACTGGCCAAACAACTTCCAGGGCGAATCGCCTTCCCTCAGGACCAGTCCCTGAGGACCATCTTGCGGTATGAATTGTTCATCCGCTGCCGGAGAGCTCCCGACCTCTCCGATGGTATGGGACTCACAAGGGCACGCAAGTACCACGTGTCTTCCTTCGAGGCGTGCGTCCAACCCGAACATGTAGTACAACCGTCTTGTCGTGCACCATTTCCCGAGCGGTATGGCTTGAAAATGCCCGCCATGGACCTCGTGCTGTCCGCCACCGTGCCTTCTGGCACATTGATGCGTGCTAGGATGCCAAATGCTGTCTGGTAGGGTCTCTGCAATCTTCCAAGGGGCCCCTCACTCTCCCCGCAGTTCCTCGTCGCGCGCGCCGGCCCCTCTTCCCGACGGAAAAACGACATCATCAGCAACGACATTATCATCATCATCATCATCATCATCATCATCATCATCATCATCATCATCATCATCATCAGTAGCAGCAGCAACAACAACATCATCATCATCATCAACAGCATCATCAGCGTCACCATGATCAGAATGATGGTCGTCATCATCGTATCATTTTCACCATGATCAGCAGCATCATCATCGGTATCATCGTCAGCATGATGATGGTGATGCTCCTCATCCTCATCCTCATCCTCATCCTCATCCTCATCAACATCATCATCCCCAGCAACATCATCAGCAGCAGCAGCAGCATCATCATCGCCATCATCACAATTCAGCATCCGTCATCCATCATCCACCACCATCCACCACCACCATCATCATTATCACCATCACTAGCACCCTTACCGTCACCATCGTCACCATCGTCACCATCTCCATCTTCATCATCATCCTCATGTTCATCTAGGCTTGATGGGGTAGGTGTAGGTGTAGGCGAAGGTCCCTGAGAGCCTTGACAGAGCCTGAGTGGTCCACGTACGTTTTCGCAACACACCGTGCACTACACACCTACACACCGACACACCTACGATACACACACTTACACACACGTGCACACCTACACCACGCACCTACAAATACACTCACCTACACCCACACGCCGACATGCGGACCTGCAAGAAAACCGCACATGAGGTAGTTCAAGTGTGTGTCCGGCGGTATGTGTATATATATGCATATATATATATATATATATAGATATCAGTGTTTGTGTGTGTTTCAGTACAGATCGGGATCGCAGGCTGTAGGGAGCCGTCGCCTTTCTGTTGAAGAGAATGCGCTCTTCGTTTGAACATGAAGCGCTCGCATTCGAGACTGATCGGTAGATCAGGTAGCTCGTTAGGACGACTGCGCGCAGGCAATGTTTTATGCGCGGTGACAAAGGAACCGATGATATCTCATACGCCTGCTGACCCCGAAGGGGCTGCCAGATAAAGTGGGAGGGGGTCTCGTGCAAGCCCCCGCCAACGAGTTATGCCGTTGCTCTAACGTCGTCGTTGGACGGTGTGAAATCGACATGGTACGTTGACCGCTCTGGGAATGCGCATTCAGACAAGAAAAATGCGAATGTTTTTGGCGCCAGTTGCAGAAGTGTCACCGTCGTGGACCTGGCG